ATCCCATCCAAGGAGTCTTTCTGCTCTGCCTTTTGCAACTGGACGTGTCTATCTCGTATTGGCCTCTTTAGCCACCAGTGTGCTTGTAGCAAATGTGGGCAGAGCCCTTCCCAAATCTTCGTTCATGCAGCCCAGCCATGATTTTGGATATTAATTTGGGAGTCTGGACTCATTGGTTTATTTGGTTCTGGAACTGGTATTTGGTTTATTTGGTTTTGGAAACAGGTATTTGGTTTCTTTTGTATTATGGGTACTTCAGGTTGCAAAGAAAGAATCTTGAAGAAATCCTTTCTGGTATTTTGGATATTAACTTGTGATTTCTGGACTTATAAGTTGATTTGGTTTTGGAAACTGGTATTTGGTTTATTTTGTATTCCTGAACCATTGGAAACAAATTGGGACCCCTTTGGAGGGACAAAGCTGTTGATGCTCCAGGGGTTCCAGGATCCTGAGGATTCCAGTGCCCACTGAAAGTTATTCAGGGAGATCCTCTCAGTCCCTGGATGCGGGGAGTTCCAAGCAAGATGCCTGGGATTTTATTAATACATTAAAAAGTCTATAAAAGTTATATAAAAGTATATAAAAGGTGTACCTAACAACATAGAAATGGAGCTCTATAATATAATATGATTGACTTATAAAAAGTTGTGATAGAACTGTAAAAGAAGAGGTGTGATGCCTCAGACCTTTTGGAATTTTTAACTTTGGTAGATTTCAGAAGTAGTGGTGTAGTGATTGTTGATTTTAAGGGAGCTGCATTCTATCCCTTACCCTGTAGCATAATGTTTGCACATCCCCAACCCTGTTACCCCATCCCATATCAACCCCTCTAAATCCCGTTAGCATGTTTAGTCTTCTTTTCAAGGCAGAATTGTAGAAAAGCCTGGACCAGAAGACATCACACAGGCACAGCCACCTTCAAGCCCAGAACTCGGGAGGAGCTCCAAGGACTGTGGGTGCTGCGAAGAAGATGAAGCTGAGGAAGAAGGGGTCCCAAAGACCCCAAAGCCAATTCCCAAAGGGGTGTGTCGGGGGCAGAACGGGGCAGAAGTGGGGGGTGGAGAGATCTGGGGTTGGATAGACCTTGTTCTAAAATCCCAGAGCCACTGCCTGGGGGGTGCCCGTCGTGTGTGTTCCCTTGGCCTGAGGCTCCACTAAAGGATCTGCTCTCTTTATCTCATCGCATCCACTCCCCTGGCCTGGAGTCTTTTCCTCCGCGCTCTCTTGAGGCAACGGGGACTGGACCTACCAGGTGCTGGGGATGCTGGAAATCCCCCCCGGTGCCGGGTGGAGCACGTCAGCCTGGAGCACCCCCTCAGC